CCTGCCCTCTTGGTCAAAGTATAAAATGAAACAACCCAAAGGAAGGCAACTTAACAAAATCTATGAAAAGTACAAATGCTTTTCCTCTTTGATCAATCAATTTTATGGGAATTTAACTTACAGAAATGTGTAGAAAGAGTTTTAGGTACATCTGAAATTATGTAGGTACAAGGTTATCAACTACACTCTGACTGTAGTAGCAACACACTGAAAATAATACAGGTATACATCAACAAGGACCTAATTAAGTAAATTATGGCATACCCATACAAAAGAAACAAAGAATACTCTTCAAGCATTGACATTAAAAGCTTTGTAACACATATTGATGAAACAAATAAAAAAACAGAACTGTTTATTATACTATGCCACCTTTTGTGTAGGAGCTCTGGTAACGTTGTGCCTAAGGCACTTGACTGCTAACCAGAAAGGCTGGTGGTTCAAACCCACCAGCCACTCCTTGGAAGGAAAGTTGGGCAACCTACTTCCATAGTGATACTGCCTTGGAAACCCAAGGAGGGGTCGCAATGAGTCAGGTCAGACTCCATGGCACATAACAACAAACAACAACAACGTCTTGTGTGAGGAGAAGAAAAATTACATACTTTAACTTGCTAGTATCTTCCTAAAAGAAACTCCAAAAGGACATAATAGAAAATAATAAAAGCAATTATAGAAAGAAGAAAAGGGGGGAGTATGTAGTAGTGTTGAGAACAGAATGGGGAAACAGGAAGAGAGTAGGAGCAATACTTTCATTGAAAAAAATCAAAGAATTATGAAAAAAAAAAAAAAAAGTCCTCGCATTAACTATTGTAGTGCAGTGAATTACATGGTATGGCTTTTCTAGCCATACTCTTCATAACTCCCACCAGATTACTGGGTGGGACCATGCAAATATGTGTCAACTTGGCTGGACAGCTGGTAGTAGTTATTTCCTATAATACTGGTAATGAACTCCATGGTGGAATTTGCCATGAGCAACTGAGAAGCTGCTTTTAAACTCCTGATTGTTAAAATCATCCACCTGGGGTACTTCTGTTGGAGCAGAAGTAATCTTCTGGGAAAATTCGCTCTCTCTCAGGTGTGTAGAACTCTGATGTTGGCAATGGTTAGTTTTGCCACTCTGCCAGGTGTAAAATGAGCCTTCCAAGAGGCAGAGGGGGAATCTCACTGCTGGCTGAGAGAAATGCCCAGCTGAGTGACAGTGGCAGTGCAACCAAGAGGCATGAGACAGAGTGGCAGACTTACTTGGCCCACAGAGGTAGAGGCCAGGCTGAGAGGCCAATGGTCAGAAAGGTGTGTCTAAGGACACAGCAGAGGAGAGACTGTCCTGATCGAAGAACTGTATCCTGAGTACATTCCTGAACTTGAATTGCAGCCTGTTGCTTCCCTAACAAACCCCATAATCTCTGAGTTCTGTGTGGCCACTGCAATGAATTATCAAACCCAGCAGAGAAGTGGTGGGTGCTGTGAGAGGGAGGTTGGTATCAAGGTTGGTAAGAGGGCTGGAGGGTTGTGGCATGTCTGGCCTCCTAAGAACAGACCTTGGCCTGCTGATGGTGATTCTGTCTTCCTCTTGTGAAGTTAGAGAAGCTCAGAAGATGCCATCTCCCTGTCCTTTTAGCAGCTATTAAAATGTGTATTAAATATATGCAGCAAGTTTAATTTCCTTCATGTCATTACTGTATATATGTACAAAGCTAAAATTCTGATTGACTTTCCACACTTACGATTATTAATTTTATAAGTTTGTACATGAATTTATGTATATATTTTTCATGAATATGTATCTTCATATAGAAGTAGAGAATATAAAATGTTTCTGTAAACTTCAAATTAAGACTTACATAGAAAATCCCACTTGAAAGATATGTTTAATAGTCCCCACATCTCTTTATTGAAACCTTGGTGCCAACTGAGATTTGGAATTCTAGATTTCTTGTATTTTAGAAAGAAACAAGGTGCAAAGGAGTTCCTGCACGGTGCAAACAGTTAAGCACTCAACTACTAGCGAAAAGGTTGGTATGTTGAACCCATCCAGTGGTACCTTGGAATACAGGCCTAGAGATCTATCTGTGAAAGGTCACAGACTTGAAAATCCTACAGAACAGTTCTACTCTGCACACATGATTTTACCATGAGTTGGAAAGCACCTAACAACAACAATAAGGTGCATACATTATACATTAGTATCATCCACCAGTGTCTAGGACAGCATGCATAATGAAACAGTATTATTTCTGCAGTGAAATAAAAATACCAGACCAAGTGGGATAAACAAAAATTATAAAGGGCCTTTTGTCAATTTGAATCAGTTTTTACCTCCAATATGGTTGAAACTTATGGAAAAAACTTACAAGTTCCAGAGTGCTTTGTATTTTGAAACTGGGGAATCATAGACTTGTACTTGAATTGTATTGTTACACATTTCATCATCAAGTGAAAACACTCAACTTCAGTTGTAGAAGGAAAATAATATTTAAAACACTATTTCAATATTTTATATAAATGACAAAAGAGCTTTAATGATTATCAGTAAGGCATAAGCCATACTCATATAATTATATAAAACTAAATAAAAATGAATCAGAGTTATATAATTAGAGAACTGTTTCTTGCAAAAGTCAGGTCTGTTTCTGCATTGATCCAACATATATACCTAATCAGAATGTACTAGGTGCTAGGGTGGACAATTAACATATCAGTCGCTCTTGAAATCTGTAAAAGCCATTACAAAAGATTGAATAAATCAATATGCAGCTTAAACACAGGAGAAGAGATCAGAGTCAGTATCTATAATATATTTGAGAGAAGTACTAACTAATAATTTAAAACTATACAAAATACTCTATCAGTTCTTAATAAAATCCTCTAAAATTCTAAATCTGTCCTTTACTTGGATAAATTGAAAGAAACTTATTTTCATCAGCAAATTCACTAAATATTTATCACCAACAAGAACACTTTACTTTGATTAACAGATGCTAAAATAGGTGAAGAACCATATTAAATTCAATAACTCCATTATCAAAATATAAAAAAAACTTAACACCAACAATGAAAAAGGATTAATTTTAATTCTCTATTAAAGATATATCAGCACAGACAGTATTCCATTATAAAAGTTAGTCAAATATTGGTATGGCAAATCAAATTGCTAAAACCTCATTTCACATCATTTTATTTTTAAATTAGTCTTAGTCATATCCTTCAAGAGGGACTACTCTTAAATTAGTGCAAATTTCACTACTGCCTTCAGATTTCTCTCTGTGTAAATTGTAGCAGCCATGCATATTTATTAGGATGTAATTTCATCTCTGGATTTCAGTGACACTGATAAACCACTCAAGCTTCACTCCTGGTTTTTAATGACACCAGAACAAGTTGATGGAATTACAGCTTTATATGTGCCATTGAAAGTCTTATTTCTTATCACAGAATAATAAAGCTGGAACCTTTAAAGGGCATCATTCCTTCTATCTCACTGTGGAAAGATGGGTATCTAGTTTATTTTTTAAATCCCATAATTTGTCCTTAGTAATCCATTTTAACATGCAAACAATAGTCATTTCTTTAGTTATTTCACATCCACTCACCCTTCTCTACCCCTCAACCCTTCCTCTATCATTTCTGTTTTGCTGTAAATTTATTTCAGGGAAAAATGTACTTGTATTCCAACATAACTGGTGCTTTATGATTCCAAAGACTTCATAACAAGGGAAACAGAACTGATTAAAATAATTATGAGAAATATACCTAGTCTTCCCATGCTGCTGATCTACACACGTCTCTTTTTCTCTGTACTCTATCTAGAAAACATCAATATTGATGCCCACTAATAAGGTTATCAATCAAAGCATAGGAGCCCAGGCTTTCTAAATTACCTGTATTTTTGGTTGAGATGTTAACAGCTTTGATTTTATTTATTTTTTTACCCATTTCTGCTTTATTTTTTTCTTCTTTTTTTAAAATTATGATTTGAGTGAAAGTTTACAGAGCAAATTCATTTTCCATTCAACAGTTCATAGTCATTTTGTTTCGTGACATTGATTGCAATCCCCACAATCCACAGTTCTCCTCCCACTTTCTCCTTGTAGTTACCCCTTCCCTGTGTCCTTTCCTATGCACTCCTGTCCTCTGAGCTATCTCCCTGCACAAATGCTGCCCTTCTGATCTCCCATGGTTGACTGAAGGAGTGTACCTACCTGGTGTAACTGTTTACCTTGTAGGCCTATCTACTGATTGGCTGGAAGTTAAGCCACAGGAGTAAGTTCAATTATAGACCTGAAGGGTGACTAGGGGCCATTGTTTTGGGGGTTTCCCCCATCTCTATCAGACCAACAAGCTTGGTCATTTTTATGATTTTGAGTTTTGTTACATTTTTCTCCCACCCTACCCTATCCAGGATCTTCAATTTTGATCCCTTTCCAAGTGGCTGGCAGTGGTAGCTGGGCATCATGTAGTTCTTCTTGTCTCAAGGTCATGTAGGCTGAAGTTTGTATGGTCCACTAGTCCCTTGGACTAATTGCTTCCATGCATCTTTCATTTTCTTCACTTTTCTTTGCTCCAGATAAAGAGAGACCTATTGTTGCATCTTAGATGGTTGCTTGCAAAACTTTTAAGACTTACCAAAGTGGGATGTAGAACAATGTTTCTGCGTAGTATATTATGCCAGTTGGAAAAGCTTTGATTTTAAAGGGTGATAGGGCAAAAGAAAAATTATAAAGATATTTATCAATGCCATTGAAGGTATTAAGTTAACCAAGTAGGTGGTTGAAATGAGGTTTCCTGCTAGATATACACCCCCAGAGCAAAACTAGCAAGAGGGTCCAAATGCTATATTTATTTAACTATAAAGACAAACCAAACCAAGTTCAGGAAATGTGAGAAGACAGAATAGCTTTTCTTGTTGTTTTTTCTCAAATAATTTAACCATGATGAGTAAAACAAATGATACTATCATACTAACAAAAACATAACCAGCTGTCTGACGTATTTACCTTGCACTCAATCTCTGCTTGCTTGCGCTTTGCTTCACTTAACTGCGTAAGTAGCCCCTTGTTCTGTGCAGAAAGATACTGCACCTTCTCCTGTAGATTGACCACCTCTTGTTCTGCTCGTCGAAGATGGTTACTGTTGATCTGGTTCTAATAATTAAAAAGATAAGCACACAGACTATACATAAAAGACCTGAACATTTTTAAATTTTTAAAATTCTATGCCTCAATATTATAAAAATATTTTATTAGTCACAGCTCAACTTTATTCAACAAGTAGTTAGGTAATAAAAATAAGATATAAAATGGCATTGAAAATTAAAAGATCCAAAGAAATACATAAGGTCCATATTATAAACTCTCAATTCAGCTCAACATACCACTTATATAATAAATGTCTACAAATTACTGTGGTACATACACACAATTTATAGATATTTATTGATGAATTTAACTTCTCTTTCCATTTCCCAAAAAGAAACAGGAACTGATCAAAATGTAACATTACTACTTACTGGACTGTAAACTCCTTGATACCACAAAATGTGTTGTGTGTACTTCAATATTTCCCCAATGTCTAGCACATTCTCTTTTTGTGAAGTATGGGCTGGTTTTAAATTCTGGCTTTCCTATTTTATGATTGAACAAACTACTTAATATCTCTGAGTCTATTTCTCACTTGTTTTTCTTTATCATTAAATGAGATAATATGTGTAACAGAACCTATAGGTAGAACATGCTTAAAAATCATAGGCCTTGAATTGACTAACATGAAGTAGTCTTCTTCAAAAGTTTTCTCATGCAGGCTAGACCCAGTCTGAATTCTCTCAAGCCCAAATTACTCTATTGCCTATCTAAAAGGAAGGACTTTCATAACCAAAATGAAAAATAAATCTGGCTCCTCCTTCAAGCTTGGCCAAGTTATTTAAACCTACTAACGTTAATTTCACTGCTAAAAGTGTTGATACTACTCGATTTTGAAGGCTGTATTGTTAGGATGAGAGTGGATAAGTTTATGAAAGAAGACTCAAACAATGCCAGAAATATAACATATTTTTTAAAAGCTCAGTTATTACTATTATTATACCTCCACTTCACTCTATGAAAATGACTCTACATCCAGTTTTGATGACAAAAATTTAGACCACTTAGTATATTTAAGCTCTGTAACATTCCACCATTTCGGAGTTTCTTCATCTTTACTTTTATTTATATTCCTGACTCACAGAATAAAGACTTCTTTTTAAGATTATCCACTAACCTCTGTTCTGGGCTTCTTACATTACTAGACACCCACAACTCCTGGGACTTCACTTACTAAGTGAGAGCCACTTCCTCCATCTCCAGCAACGGGCCAACGATAAAAAACCACCAAGAAGAGCCTG